GCAAATGTGAGAATGTGCGTGTCTCTATCTTGAAAGCATGATAAATTATACTTTTAGTGCATATTTCATCTGTAAAAGAAGCGAGATTGCTTCATTTCACAGTCTGTGTTAAACGCGTGTGTCTGTCTCTCCCACTCCTATAATTACAGTCAGTGGTATCAGATGAAACCCCACACAGAGTTGATCTCGAGATGTGTAAGCAACATCTCCCTGCTAGATTGATGGAGAATTGGAGGAGATCACACAAATGGAGGAGCATTATAGTGTCGGGTTACCCCTACGTTCTCTTTCTGTGTGTCTTTCTCTCTCGTTATCTTCCTCTCTGTCTTTCCCTCCTTTCCCTTTTCCCCTTTTCATTAATAATTTTCCCTCCCTTGTTGCTCATTTCCTTATACTGGCCCACTCATTTCTCAGTTTAAATAATATCATCCCTCCTCTCCATGTTTTAGCTTTCTCCTTGTTTTGTGCAAGCAAACACACACACACACACATACATACAGGAAATGCATGGTAAATAAAAGCAGGAGACCACCTAGACTTCACTGTAGGAGATAAGACACAGGAGGACTCTATTTATCTGTCTGATCTACGGAAATGACTGTCTGCAGCGTAACACTATAGATCCATTTACAGTGGCAACCCTTCATTAATGCTTTGGGTGAGGCTGTGTGTGTGTGTTTGTACTTAGCAGTCACTGTAGGAGGAGACAAAACTCATCTCTAATAGGGCCAATGTTGCGTTCCGTAGGCACTATTTCTTTCTCAGAGGGACACATGGAAAAATACACCCATTCTAACCTGGCCATGCACTCCCACGGACACACACATATGGATGAACGCACGCACACACGCACACACACACACACACACACACACACACACACACACTGACTGACAAAGACAGACACATGCAGCCACATGCACACAGATGTCGACAGACTACCATATTTATACCAATGCTCCAATAAATCTATCTGCTCACTTGTCTATTTTCTCTGGCTTTGCCCATGCAGCACTAAATGCCTGCACAGCTTAAAAACAGAGGGAGTAGGAGAGGAGAGGAGAGGAGAGGAGAGAAAAGGAATGGAGGGGAAAGGAAAGGTAAGAAGAGGAGAGGAGAGGAGAGGAGAGGAGAGGGGACGAAAGGAGAGGAAAGGAGAGGGCAAAGGAGCTACACTAGGGGAGACAAGACGAGACGAGTGCCCCATGGCACTTTCCTCCTCTTTGGCCTACATCTCCATGTCTTAAACACAACTGCTGGCCCGACTCTACACACCACCGTGCAACAAATTCCTGGAAAATATGAACTTGTGTCAACTTGTACAGCTCAAACTAATACAGGCCCATGCACTTTTCCTTTTTTCCCTCCTTGTCTTTTCATTTCTGCAGCATAAATACCTCAAAACAACACCTCTTGGTCTAGTTTGGTGAAAATCATCTTTTAAGTAAAAGGCTAACTCAACCCTGTGCCTGTATAAAATAAATGACACTCTCACACAATGTCTGGAAGAACTCTGGAAGGAAAAGATGATATAAGATGTTATTAAATTAGTCTGTAAATGTTTAATGTGCTCTTGTCTTTCGAAAAGGAGAGGTATGATTTGGAATATTTTTGTCAGGACTGGGCTCAAAGCCATGGTTAAAGTTCAAACTGACAATTATACATACACAAAAAAGAGATGAGATAAAATATGCTATATGAGAAATTTATTTGTCCTGTCTTTCTTACATGAGGATCTTGATTCTTACAACCAGTTAATTTTATGTGCACCTGCATATGTCAACATGGTTTAAAGAATAAATTAGTCCAAATACACTGTGAAATTCATTATTATTACATTATCAATAGGACCGTCTCATCAGCTATTGTTATATAAATCTGATCCGACACATGGAAAGAATGAGATTAAATAAAAATATTAATGTTTTACTTTTTTATTTGAATAGTGTTTTGAATGTGAGTCACACACGGTAGTTTTATGCTAAATGAAAATTCAACATAGCCAGATATGAAATGACTTCTGAAGGATACAAAAATGCAGAGCATAATGAAAGGTGAAGCAAACATGACAGAATATCTTTAAATAGATAACAAATCAGTGGTAAGCTTGACACAAACAGAACCTTGTTGGCCAAAGATGATTTGCATAGCTGTAACTATTTCCATTATGGTAAAACATGTGTATATATGTGTACTCCTCCCTGATGCTCTTTTACTGCTACATTCTGTTGTTTTCCACCAAACCTGATTAAGATGTTGTCCAAAATTATTTGGAATGTGCTTAATGTAACATGATGCAGACATTGAAATGGTCACTCCACAGGTCAGATAAAAACATACGCAAAAGCAGACAGCATTGTGACTTTGGCGAGTCACTCACATTCCCATTAAAGGTCTAGTGTGTAGGATTTAGTTCCATCTAGTGGTGAGGTTGCATATTATAATCAACTGAACTGAGGAGAACTATAGTGGCCATAGAGAAAACGAGAATGGCATTATCTACAGGCAGTGTTTGGTTTGCCTGTTTTGGGCTAGTGTAGAAGAGGACCCACTCTGTATGTAGATATAAACGGCTCATTCTAAGGTAACAAAAAGACAGCTTTGGGTGATTATAAACTAATTAAAAAATAGTTATAAATACTACATTCAATTTCTGCTTCTCCTAAACACTACACACTGGACCTTTAATGGAGAGTTACCGAGTTATAGCTATAAATTGTAACATCAGCCCAAAACATCATACAATACATAATATGCAACTACTGTAGTTCTATTATTTGTGATAATTACCACCGTCGTGATGCCTTATATTAACACAATCAAAGTTACGGCAATAATAACTAACTGAAAAGCATCATGATTACCTTGTACATATATTTACTATTGTGCCAGATAAGATATGTTCCTTTCATAATCAGTGTGTGTGTGTGTGTGAGGTTTTGTTGTTGTTATTTATGTCATTCTACTATTAAATACATGAAATAATCTCAGTTGTCTGATTGCTATATACTGGGTCATACAAATTGGATTTAGACTTAAAATGGGTGAGTGATTTCTTTCTAAAATGCTTTTAATGAATATTAAAAAGCAATCTGACATATGCATACCAGTGTTCTTTGAATGGCAGATATTTCACTTTGGAATTAAAATCATACCGGTCTAGATGAAATGTTACAAAATAAAGTTGCACACACATTGATTATATAAAGGGCTTGGGAGAAATTGCCCACAATATAGCCATCCTATAACTTGTCATTAATCAAGGTGGTCATTGGATTTGGGCCCTGCAAAAAAATGCTGCCATAAAGCAGGTATTGTATGTAACAGCCAGATCTGAATCATGATAGCTTCCTGAAACACAAACATCACCAACGGTGAGATCAAAACAAGACGATACTGAATCCTTAAGGGTAGGATAGGATCCTACACTCAGAGACAAACAGCCTTAAGAGAACAAGTGGAGGCAATGTATTATTATAGTTTAGTATACTTACTGTACATTGTCTGGTAATAAAACGTAAGTGTAAATGAGATGACATGACAGGTTTATGGGAAAAATACTTCCTCTGGAAACGAAACAAATGAAAGATCTTGTCTGCCTCACACAGAGACAGAGAGTCAAAGAGCAGTGTGCTTTTAATAACCAACATGATGCAGTTTAGCGTCAGACAGCAACTCAGAGATATATAGAGGGTACTGTCAACTGAAGGATACGGTGATAACTGGCCAACCTGCACAAACACATACTCAACACTTTCACACACACTCACACACACACACACACACACACACACACATATGCAAATACAGTATCAAACTAAAGCTAACATCCAAAGTGCATTATTACATTAGCCCTGTATATCATAACAGATAAACAAAATACATTATATACATTTTCTCAATACCAAACAATGTCATGTTTGAAAAGGTTTCTCCTTTGGTTTAATAGAAACAGACAACCGCAAAAGTGTTCTCTTGCCAAGCTATTGAGGAAGCCAACGGCAGCCATCGTATCCAAAGTGCTTCTGAGAGAGATGGAAGTGAGTAGTCTTGTCATCATATCTTTATATAAATAACAGTCTTTGCTGGCAGGCCAAGTCCACACCTGCAAAACATGGTGTTGACAGCATTCTTCAAATCTGATAATTTGATATCATTTCCCTTTTATGTATATTTTTGACACAAGAGCAGAAAGAAAAGTCAAGACCAGCATCTTTTTTTGTAACTGATGTGTGATATTCACTTACAGAGTAGGCTAAAGTAACTGTAACTGAGAGACAGACTGATTTTGACACTTTTAAAGATTATGGGTGGTAAAATGTAAAGATGCACTGATTATTACTAATGCCTCATGAAGAATATTGGGCCATAGTGAGATCCCTAATCTTTCTTTGATCCTATAGCATATCGTAGATTGAGAGAAATGTCTGCAAAGGTCTTAAAGGAATACTTCAACCCCTAAATGATCATTTGTGTATTATTTACTCAACCCATGGTACATTGTTTTTCCTCATTGAATTTGTAAATAAAACTTTCTCGCATGCCAGCAGTGAGCAAAGATTTGAAAAACAGTGAAAGTTCTTGATGAGTTAAGGATAGCGGGGTCCACATTTAGCAACAGCAGAACTATATCGATACATTTGTTTACGAACTCTCACGCATCTCGTGCAGTGTAATCCAAGTCTCATTTGTCCGGCCGTATGCTCAGTACTTCCGAAAGTGATGGCCCTTTTCAACAGAGAACTGAACAAAAAGTAAAAACATATTTATGTTCTCTTCAAAACCAGACTCCACTGACAAAAACACTAAATTTACCTCACTGAAAACAGGAGCTACAGCTAGTCTACCACTTCCTCGACTGGTAGCTGGTTTGTGTTATTTTTTGACTTTGGTGAATCTGAAATAACCCTTTAAAGCATCAAAGTCACACAATAACACAAACAAACTAAATGATCAAGGCAGCAGTAGACCAGCGGTTCCAGTATTCAGTGAGATAAAATAAATGTTTTTGTCAGTGGAGCCTGGCTTTGAGGAGAGCGCAGATACGTTTCACTCCCTGTTCAGAAAGGGCTGTCTGTTTGGGAAGTACTTAGCATACAACTGGATAAAAGAGAGTTGGATTAGATACTGCATGCACTTTCTCCGAGTTTTTAAATGGATGTTTTGATGTAGTTTTGCTGTTGTTTAATGTGGACCCCAATGACTTTGATTCACCAAGAACTTCCTCAGTTTTTGGATTCTTTGTTTACCAGAGGCATGCGAGAAAAACAAAGTTTACTTAATGAATTCAATGTTACACTGGGTGAGCAGTTGATATACAATTTGGGGGGTGTAGTCCTTTAAAATAACAAATAAAACAGTAATTAATCTTTGGAGGCTAAAAGGGTTTCACAATGGCAAGGTTGTGCAGAATGCACAAAGATTTGCTGAATTTGCGTATACTGTTACAATTGCAACATCCTGGAGGCACTGATTTATTTAGCTGTTGCATTTTAAAATAAGTCAGTCTGAGACTGAACTTTCAGCCAGCTCATTAGCTTCTTCTCTTTCATTGAGATGGACAATAACATTTTTAACATTCTTTGGTCCTTTTTCATGTACAAGAAAAAGAAAAACAGCTAGTTCAGAAAAACACATTTTCCTATTTTGCTTCTTTTAGTCCCCCTGCCATGTGGATGCATTTACTTTTGGTATCTTCTGAATCTTTGGCTAGCACCTCTTACATCTGTCAAAACTCCTGGGAACCAAACAGCAGAATACGGGATCAAATACTATTTGAAATGAACATCTTTGAGGCGTTATCTGAATGTGACTGGTGAAAAGACAGAAACAAAAGGATCACCATGGAAATCCGAACCCTATCCTTCTTTCACACTAGCCAAACTAAAGCAAAAAAAAAGTATTTATAATTAACCAAGTCATATTGACCGCTGTCAACCTCAGTTCATCAGTGACAGAGACTAAGGTCTTTTCGGACCAAACACTTCTTGCACTGGACCACGCAACACCAGTGGAAACGACACAGACAGTTCTCCTCTAACACCACTGTTTCCTCCCGGTAGCCGCGCTCACAGCACAGCAGGTCGCAGCCGCTGATGTCCATGGCCGTGCTGTTGCACATGCGCCCCCGTGTCCCCAGTGAACCAGTTTTCCGATTTGCAAGGCAAAAATCGGGCGACTCGTCAGAGTAGATGAGGTCCTGTTTATCTGGTGGCTTTATATTTTGGCCAACTGGGATCAGGGTCTTGCCATCATTGCCGCCCATCACCTTGGAAGCACCATTGAAGCGCTCCAGCAGGCGGTCGCCTACCTCACGGAAATGAGGCATCTTTTTCCAGCAAGTGCGCAAGGTGCATGAGCCCGACAGTCCGTGGCACTTGCACTCTGTCCGCATGTAGAGCTTCACCGCCTGGGAAGGGAAGAAGTGGAGAGGTGAGTGAGTTTAGGGTTTGGGGAGGCAGGGGAAAGCAGAGAGGTGAAGGAGGGCAAATGGTTGATAAATAAGGAGAAAGAGAGAAGGTTGATGTGACAGAAAAAAGGGGACAAAGGACATTTTAAAATGTGTACCCTGAACTGAAGCAGGATTGCATTTGACAAATGGCAGGTTCTCTAAAGAGGTAATTTATTATTGTGTTTTCATGATATATCGCAGACAAAGCCACTGGATCTCTCTCTTTCTCTTTCTCTCTTACACACACACACACACACACACACACTGATAGATAGGTAAGATAAAAGCAGACGCTATTCAGAAGGAATTTAACTCCCCAACCCCCCTCTCCCTCCATATTGCCTCTGGCCTTCCTACATCTAACAAGCCTTGACAACAGATCATTCACTTATACTGCACATAATTAACCCATCACACACACACACACACACACACACACAGACTTGCAAGCATGCATACAAGTACACACACATACATGCACATTAAGAGACATTTGCACGCATCACAGCACCTTTATTTCTCAACCTCTGGGCATTTGTGTTTCTCCTTTTGTTCAAATGGTTTGTTCACTAATGCTACAATTGGACTACATCCCAAAAACCTCCCCTCTCCTCTCCACCTGCCTTTGACCCCAACTAAAGTGAACTTTGTAACTCTGTGTTTTGCTTGTGCATGTGTCAACAATTCTGCAAGTGGGTGTAACAAACGGAGACGAATCCCTGACAGCTGAAAGCAAATGTGATCTGGAAGATTTACCGAGCTATATTTCAAATGATCGTAATTAACTGCTCTCAAAAGTCGCTACTTTATCTCCTCTCTTTCGGTAGCAGGTTGACTTGTTGAGGCCATACTTCACTCTGCATTCATACGGGCAACAAAGAGGAACTTTAAACTTCTACAAGGGCTGTGGAAACGTTAGAAGCTACCTGCCTTGGAGGCTTGAAAACAAAATGTGTGGCACGCTCTTGTTTTTGTGTTTCAGAAACCTGATTCTTGTTAGAATATCAGCTTACGCTGCAACACAAATATGGCTGGGGGCGATGTCTTTCTCTTTTGCATGTTCGTGGAATGATGGAACATTCCACAGGACAAGCAACACCTTCGTTGCTAAAATCTTTGAGAGTGTAGTGAAATATCAGACCTGGGTTTGGTGTAGCACAGTAGCAGTTATTTTTTTGTCACACATTACAGTTGTGTTCAATGTATTTCTAACTCTACTAATTCAAGATGTAAACAGAAACTGCACAGACATACTGAATTCTTAAACTATTTCTTACCAGCCGCCCAGCCTCATTATTGTGCAAGTCAATGAGTGTCCTGATGTCGCTCTTGCCTCTTCTCCTCTTGGCGTCCATAAACTGTTTCGACTTTTCATAACCAAACTCTACATCATCTCCGCAGCCCCCCCACTCCCACTTGACTCCATCTCCAGATTGGGAGGATGAGGTCGGCCTTGGAGGTGCTCTGTTCCTGGTCGCCTCGCAGCCACACTGCAGGAGGTCTCCCATACTGCAGGCTTGGGTCACAGCGTGGGTCACACCAGCCGCCGTGATGGCATAAACAAACGCTGTCTCCCTGATATCTGTGGTACAAAGGACAAGCGAAAGAGGGGTTTGGTTTAGGGATTGGTCCCCAAGTTTGGTTTACACACGTCACCAAAATGATTTCACCATAGTTGTCAATGAATAATTCCTAATCCAAATGTATCAAGGCACACAATTAAAACTCAAAACAGAGGATTGAAACTTGCTTTCTCTCCCATACTGAGGTAACGATTATCAACAGCTTCACATTTTGGGAAATAGGCTTATTTGCTTTTCTGTCTAGAGTTAAATGCGTATACCTGTTTTTATGTCTGTAAGCTAAATATCAAGCTACATTCAGTGGCCAGTTATCTTAGCTTAGTATAAATATGAAAACAGATCTGCTCACCACCTCCTCTCAAGGTGGACAGAGCCAAGCTAGCAGAAAAACCTAAACAGGTAGTTGTCAACATACGTTGCATTCATTTTGAAGGATATGTGTTGGAGAGTAGAATGAGCAGGCTTTCTCGTTTTTCATTTCAATACATTACAATTTTACTGACACAGTGACATGGTATGTACATGATAAATACCAATGACTGTTTGTAAAAATTGGCGACATGACAGCTCCCCAAAAGTGAAGCCAAAACAACTTGATTGCCCCCTGGTGGCTGGCTGCAGCATAGGTCATAAACCCTGCCCCTTCCATGTACCAAAAACCCAAGTACTCAAAGTACATGTACATGTCAAAATGTTTTCTGTCATTTTAGGTAGTTCTTATCACTGCTGTATGTTCAAGTGCTCATTTTCTGATAAGTTTGGTTTTAATTAGGTAATTGATGCTATAAAAAGGGGGTGTGATATTATGACTGACAGTTGTGTATGTCAATGGAAGTACTTGCGATTAATGGCACTTCTTGAGATTGGGTTATACAGGTGTATGGGCGATTGACACTGTGGCTCCGCTTCCTGATCATTACTGTGCAGACTCTGGCTCCAAATTTGACAGCAGCCATATCTGACATATTTTTGCTTCATTTTTGGAGTCTATGATGTCTATGATGAATACCAACACATTACACCACACAACAGTCAGATATCTGTTAATCATTGTTATACTCAATCAGTCACAGGACAACAACTGGGAAGAAGAGAGAACACCGCAAGTGAAAGAAGCTAGTTTCCATCCATCAGTCCACTCATCCGGGCCTCTGTCTCTGCATGCAGTCCATCAATATCGCGGCTACATGGAACAGGATAAAAGCACCTTTCTCTCAATCCTGGTCCATTACTACAATCTCAAGCGTCATTGGATTTGTGGTGCTGAGAGGACGGCTATTTCTCCCTCTCTCATGCACACTCATACACACCACAGCTGCTGGTTTATTTCGGGTGCAGAGCTTAACACTCCTGACTGAAGGCATGTCCAACCACAACTGCAAATTGATCGTCTGTCCTCGCCGGTGGCTTCGGCATCGTACTCACCCTCGGCTCAACACGTCTTTATCCATAGTTATTGCAGCTATGAAAGAATCTCACAGACCTACTGGGTTGAAATAAGAGAATGCTTCATTGTAAGTATCTTATGAATTCTTTGTCCTCTTTTTCTAGCGTCATTTTTGCTGTTAGCACTATTAAAAACCTGACCATAATTTTTCCTTGATGGGAGATCTTTATTACGGTCGATCGATGGCATGGTGTGACTTTTTCATCAGGTGGGGCTCTGTGTAATTTAGCCGTTTTTGTAATCTTCTTTTGCAACGTGTACAGATGCTTTTCAGACCATTGAATTATTGAATAACAAATCAAGCCAACATTTTGTCAACCCACCCAAGCTTATTTTTACTGACATAATCCATTCAAAAGTTGCCGAATTGGGGGGAATATCACAGAATCTGCCAACATTTCTTGTGTTTATTTTTTTTGCCCCAGATCTAGTTATATTTGGCATACTGTGGCAACCGATCAGGGGCCACCAGGAAAATATGAACACGTTACACACATACTGATGTCAGGCAGAGAAAAGTAGGGCCTGTAGGCAGCAAGTTTTCATTGGCCATCAAATGTTTCTGTAGTATGTCAGAATAACAACTTACATTAATGCACATACACATACCATAACAATAATAAAAATGACTTTTCATTAAAATATGTATTCAACAATTGAAATTCCAAAGGCTGGACCTTTCAAATCTTTTTAAATATTTATGTTTAGGTACTGACATTAAATTAAATATTGCTTACGAACAATATTGGCAATATTTTTTAGCTATTGTAAGCAAATCCTGTGAAAAAACAAAACAAAACCAACAATGCGACTCACATGTAGCCTGATATATGTTATTGCTGTGCACTATGGAGCTCAGTTTTTGTCCAAAAACAATCACAAACACATAGATGCACCACTCCATTGCAGTGGGTGATATGTTCCCTCATTACAATGAATATGGGCACTGTATTTATTTAAGTCTATCTGTATACACTTTCTTGCAGCTATAAATATTCACCAGAGGACTGTGTATTCATCCACTGCTAAAAATAATCCCTGACAAATGCTGTTTTTACTCCAGTTTGAGTAACGTTTGCTTAAAACTACAGTGCCCATCTGTTATAGGATATGACAGAACCTTTTTAAAAATGGAGATATATATTTAACACCTGTAAAAGATGTACTGTATGTCTCGAGTGGGACCAAATGGGCTTGGGGCTAAGTGCCATAGTGCTGAAAGACAGACTAATGTTTTGCTAAATGTTGGTCTCTTATAAGGATTTGTTGACAATAAGAGTGTGTAAATTCTGTCCAGAAACAAGCGAGCAGTGGGAAATGACGATGATTCCAATGGCAGAACACTGAGAGATGAGGGGGAGAAAAAGAATAGCCACTTAGCGAGCCATTGTATGTGTGTGCGGAGACTAAGCGAAGGACTTTTATTTCTAAGAGCTGGAAGGCAGTGAGCGTGCAGTCACCACCATCAACGCTGCCAACTCCATATCGCATGATTCAGTGAATGGGATTCATTAGGAATGGTAACACACATACACACACAATGGGTGGCGTGCGACGAAACCTGCACACCCCAGCACGCCGTGATATCAATACCAGCTGTACACTCCAACACCCAAAGATGTCTCCAATCCAGGCAAATTTGTGTTTGCATGCCTGTGTTTCAATGTGTATGAGTGGGAAAAGTATGTATGTAGATTTAAAGCATTTATGGCATTTGACAAATAGTCACTTAATTTTATTAATGTGTTACTTAACATGGGCATGGTGGTGCACTTCTGCAACTGTGCATGTGTGCTGTTGTTGTGTAGAATCCTCGCAGCTCAGTTGAGACCACACCTCGGTGTTCCTGCTGCTCAGCAGAATATGGCTGGGATTTTCAGGAGCAGCAACATACTCAAATCAAGATGTGTCGTTTCCAAAACCTCCCTGAATCTATTTCGAGACACGTGTGTGAAACATCAGCACACAACTCAATATTAATACAATATGGTGATATCAGCACAAGCTGTGTCCAAACAAACAGGGAGCCTGTCCAGATGTCCTCAGATGCACTGGTGAAACACTGCATTTAGTAGAAGAAAACTGCATAAGAAACATGTCATGATGACATCTAATTTAAGCAAAAATGTACTTGACCTTATTATCATACTGAACTTGTTATTGTGGTTTATTATTAAAAGTATGAGTAACCTGGAGCAAAATATTAAGCAACTAAAAGCAGACAAACTGAAAGAGACAGAACGCAAAACAACAGAGAGTACAAGAAAATTCAAAAAGCGAGAGCAGGGGGTTTAAAGAGAGATAAAATAGAGAGGATTACTGTTGTGTGTAAAAGATGCTATCAAAAATCTAATGATTTGAGGCACCCTGTTTCATATTTTCCTCGGAGACATGAATTCCAAACAAATTCTCTGCCACGGCGGATGTCTGGGCCTGTCTACGTCTGCTTCTAATTCCAGAAGGCCCATCTGCAGGAATTAGAACATATTATTAATACTTTGACTTTTAGGTAATGGGATGTGAGAGCTAGTTAAAAATCCCCTCAAAGTCCAGATAGGCATAGTTAAATAAAAATACATTTGTTTTCTCAAAGGGAAAGGTGTTCTGAGGATCATCTGTGTAAGTAGATCTGGTGACACCTTCGGCAACTGGTGGTCAAATCAGGGGCTCTTTCCAAATGCACAAAGATTGGAGCATGCAGTGAGGACGGTAGGAGACTGGGATGCATCCTGCAGCATCTAGTCTGCCAGAAAGTCTCTGGGAGCCAACATCTGTTGTGGCTGAGGATAACTGCAACACTATCAGATTAGATATGCTGTGATATTAGGTCATTGCCAATCTGAAAATGTGAAGAAACTATGAGCTAAACAAACTATCAGAAAAGTACAACAAGTAACAGTTGTCTAACCTTACCAATGAAATTCTAATGACAGCAGACCTCAAATTGGTGGGAACCTGCTGACATAACATGGACACAACTGTTATCCGAACACCTAAAGACTGCAATATCTGGAGTGATTCTTAACAGGTAGAGATGTTCCATCAGTTCATGCATTTTCAGACTGGCTTCCCAAGAAAAACACCATCTGTCTTTTAAGCAAGTGCCCCAACACAACATCTTTTACACTGAAGTGACAAAGCCCTCTAGCAGCCAACGAAATTACCATGGGAGCAAAGGAGAAAGTCAAGTGACGTCATCATAGAGTGACAAAGTCCATGTAGAGAGAAGGTCAGGGTGGATGGAATCATCAACATAACGTCGGACTTCAGTGTGGAAGGTCGCTCTAACCCTTGTCTGTCGGTTGGGAGCAATCATTTGGACAATATGTTGGGAAGAATGTTTCTTTAAAGCATTATGACGCTTGTTCCGTAACCACAACCACATGTTTGTTATTGTAACCATGACAACAAATGTCCCCTAATGTTAACAAAGTAGTCATTTAAGCCCAAACCACTATGTCTACCTAATCTTAATATAGTACTTATTTTAATCCAAACCATGATCTTTCCCTTAAGCTAACCATGTGCCTTAACCTAACCAAACCTAAACCA